TTGATAAGAAATACTTAAGTAAATTATTGAGTTTCCTAAACTTTTATATTCTAATATATATTATAAAGTACCTATTACTAATTAGCCTTATTATTTTGATAATGGAGTGCCTAAGAGCTCTACTCTTTCCCCTGTCTCATTTAGTATTTATTAAGAAGATCTATATTATTCGCAATAAAAATTCTATTAATATGTTACTTTTTAGTCTAAAATTATTGTTAAATTTTCATTACTTTATTTATTTATTCTATGTAAAGAGATTTAAATATAATAATTCATTCTAATCTACATTTTAAGATTATGTATTTTAGATTAACAATATTGGTGTTTATTGAAAAGTCCAGAAAATAATATTGTTTCGAGTTCTTTGAAGATCTTATTAAACTTATAACATTCTCTCTTTATTTAAAAATTATAATATTTATGCAATAAATTTTTTAGTAAAGAAGATTGATTTGATGAATATGATTTTCTCTTTTTCATTAAAAAAAAAATGGTAAATTTTATTATTTGTAATAATTCCCTTTGATAACAAATTTAATTATTTTTAAAACATATTAACAATCCTTTCTCAATATTAACATTCTATAATAATGTGGATAATATTAAATAACTCTGAAACTAAGAACAATTAACTTAAAAAACTTAATTTTTTAGTTCATTCTCTTCTTTTGATTAATAGTGTTTTACTTAATCATAAAATTAAAGAAGAAAATATTTTCAATTAAGCTTCAAACATTTGGCATTTATTAACTAATAGCTTTTTGTTTCATATATATATATATATTAAACCAACATTTCAAATTATCGCTTCTTTGCATTTTCATTTTCGAATTACTTTTTTTATTTAATATTTTTTGAAATGTTAAATTATTTTCTAATGAATCTAAGAGTTGATTTTAGAAAGCATTATTTTAAGATTATTTTCTCTTCATGCTTTTTCAATCATTTATAATTGAAATTATATTATTTAGATGTTATAATCTTTAATTGATATGATGATAAAATAATGTTAAAATAATATAATGAAATAGATGTAAATTAAACCGAATAAACTTAGAAATTGAAAAAGTATGAATTGATTTAAGAATGTAAAATCAAATAAAATTAATGGTGTGGAGCAATTGCCATTAGCTCTGATAATCATATAGTGATTATAGGTTGTAAAAACAAATTAAGGATATATTAATTTTAATAGCAAATGCTTAAATTGCTTTAAACCTATAAATCACACACACTAGATGTAAATACTATAAACTTTTTCAAAAAGCCGAGCTAAATGATAACTGGAAGTGAGGATAAACAGATAATTCTTTGGTCTTTGATTAATGGAAATTCTAAAAAATACATTAATAAATAAAAAGGAAAAGATGGATAAATCTTAAGTCTCATTTTGAATGAAAAAGAAGAATAAATTATTTCTGGAAGCAGCATTATACAAATTTGGAAACTTTAAAATGGTTGGTCATGCATATAGACAATAACTGACCATAAAGATTTTGTTTGGGCTTTAAATATTAATGAAAATGGCAATTAACTTCTTTCATCTGGGTATGATAAATTAGTAATTATATATAAATTGATAAAAGATAACAGTTAGAATAGCAAGTGGATTTTAATTTAAAAAATTGAGGGAGATGGTTTTAGGTTATGCTGGATTAATGATTCACTCTTTACTTTTTAATTTTATTGCAAAGAATATTTGAGTCTATATTAGAAATATGAAACTAATTAGATTTTTAGAAAAACAAAGAATATTTATATAAATAATAATTCAACACAATGTTATGGATTTTTTCCATAAAATTTCATTAAAAAGAAAAATATACTTGTGAATAAAAATGGAAGAAATGTGAATATTTTATCAAAATAAGAAAATGATAATTTTATTTTAGATTAATCAATTTAGTTTAATGATTATTAGATACAAGGATGTTTAAGTGATGATGGAGAGTTTTTAATTACTTGGGATGGAGGAAAGAAAGGATCATTCGAAATTTAAATTAGAAAGTATTAAGAATTATGAATATTTGATATTTATTTTTAAATAATTCAATAATTTAATATTATTATATGAAATTTATGCCAAATAATGTAATGAATAAAGGGTCAGATAATGACTTTCTCCAAATGTATTGAAAATATGAATTTTTTAATTTCTTTAGATTTTATGATTAAGAAGATATATAATCAAATTTATCTCAAAATCTATTCAATTTAAACCACATAACATATGAGTAAATAATAATAACTAAATACTAAGTAATTACTAGAGATCTAACAAGTGTTAATTTATTTTATTGTAAACTCATTAAATTTAATTTTTATATTCTATAACTTAATTAATATTAATTATAATATTGAGAAAAGACATACTTTGATTCTAAAACTCCTACTGATCATTCTTGTAATTTTATCTTATATTCCTACCATGATAAATATATATATCATAAAAATGCGGCAGAATTTTTTTGTAGAGAATAAGGTCATGATTTTAAATATAATATTATTTATATCTTTGAAGGATACTCTTCTTACAAGTAGGATTTTAGCAGGAATACATTTATAGGATATAATACATTACAATCTTTTATATTTTCATAAACACTTAAGAATATCTATAGTTAGAAGGAGAATTAGAAAGTTAATATGTAAAGTTAAGAAAAATTCAATAAAAATAAAGATGAAAAATTTACGATCCTAATTATTATGAATTTTTTGAGAATTTTGATTTTCCGTATGGTATTAATTTTGAAGAAGAAATCTTCTTATAAGTTATATTCTAAACACATCAAAAATAATCTATTTTATAATATGATTCCACTACCACTCTGATCACCATAACTTTAAATTGACTATTTCGATTTCTAATATGTTATCTGACCTATTATAAGCTAAAATTATTATTATTTTTTGAAAAAAAGTGTTGCTTTATCATTAATATTTATTAAATTTATTTTAACCTTAGAGTTTGCTAAAATGAGATTAAGTATTCCACTTAGTAATAAATTGATAAAAATTACACCTTTTAGGATTTCAACAACTATAATTTATGCAATTATTGGAGTGAGAGGATATGAAAAAGCAGTTAAGAGATGAATAAATGATTTAAATGACATAGCTTATTTTATAAATCTTATCACATAAAATTAATATAAATATCAAATTTTAGTTACAAAAGAAAAGGAAAATAATTGATCTTTAAATATATTTAATATCTAATTTTAAGTAAGTAAAATTAAAACATAGCAAAGTAGTATAAAAAATTTCCTTAAATCGTAAAAATCTTATTAGACCATAATTCAAATCATTATATTCTAACATATTATTAAAATTATTTGGAATTTATGAAATAAAATATCATCTTTGAAAAATATATTTTAATACTAAATTTCAATAGACAAAACTAAAAAAAAGTGTAAAAATTATTCAACTGTTTTTCAAAAAAGTTAAATGAAAAAATATCATGATAATTTGAATACTCAATGTTTTTTTTGGTTTACACAATAGGAAGTGAAAAATACACTTTCTATTTAATGTGGATTATGATAATAATATTTAAATACCCAAAATTTTAACTTGTAAAATTTTATCATTTTAAAATTATTTTATTTGATTCAAAATCAAAATTTTTATCAATCATAATCATTGTATAAAAGGCAAGCAAATTATTTTTATGTTTTAATATTCTCTTATCCCTAAAATCATATATTTGCAGTAATTAGTTCAATCCAACACTTGTTTTTAAATAGTCAGAAATATAAAAAAGATTCATCTTAAATATAATGTATCTTAACACGTATACAAAATTCATCTCCAAAAAATAAATAACCAACCTCTAAAATAGAATAAATAAAAACATATTCTTAAATTATTAATGTTCATGAATAATATTTCAATTCCCCAACTATTTAAAATTCATTTTAATTCCATTCTCTTCTTAATTCAACCCATTTATCAACTTTTTTACCATTTTAATATTTGCCTTTATAGGCTATCTATTTGCTATTCCAAAATCCCTCACATAAATCAACCCATTTGCCAACCTTAACTCCATCACCTTTTTCACCATATGATCCCCCACCACTAGAAAATTTAAAATATAATTAATAGTTTATATTTACATTTATTTATTTTCTCCATTATTATTCCATAAAAATTACCATCTACCTACTTTATTACCATTTTTATATTCGCCTTAATAAGTTATTTAAATAGCATTTTAAAATCCTTCGATCAACTCTATCCATTGGCCAACCTTAACACCTTCCTAATCATATGATCCACCGCCACTAGAGTATTTAAATAGTATTTAATAATATTTTTTACATTTATTTATTTTCTTTTTAATGCCTCCAATAAATATCCCATTTACCAACTTTTTTGCCGTTTTAATATTAACCATCATAAGTAATTTAAGAAGTAATTCTAAATCCATCACTTAAATCTTACCATCTCCCTATTTTAATCCCTTCATCAAATAGCCCACCTCCACTAAATATTTATAAGCATAATATTAAATTTTACATATTTTACAGAGAATCTTTTACAGTCTCCCTATATTATATATCCCATATACCAACCTTTTAACCATTTTGATATTCACCATTATAAATTACTTGCTATTCACCTTCATACTCATCGCTTAAGTCAACCCATTTCCCAATCTTTAACCCCTTACCTGCATTATCATACTATCCGCCACCACTAACATGTTTACAAAATTATTATTTTACATCTGGAAATTTTTATTCCAATCCCAAAAAGTATTCCATCTACCAAATTTCGAACCGCTCTTGTATTCACCTATATAAGTGATTTGTGAAGACATCTTAAACCTCTAACTTATCTCAACCCATTTTCCAATTTTAATCCCATATTCTTCATTATCATCATGTAATCCACCGCCCCTAAAAGTATTTGTACATAAAACTCTTAATAATTTAATTTTACATCAATCTATATTATTAATGATAAAAATTCCATAAAATATCCCATTGACTAACCTTTTTACCTTATTTATATTCACCATTATAAGTCATTTATTATCCACCATCAAAATTATCACTAATTTCAATCCATCTCCCTTATTTATTTCCTTCATCATATAAACCGCCTCCACTAAAGATTTATACATATTATCTAATCATATAATTTTACAACTAAATATTCTAATTTGTTCCATAATTCTTCTTATACCAAATATCCCATCTACCAACTTTTATACCATTTTTATATTCACCATTATAAGTGACTTATGAAACCCAGCTAAAACCATCATTTAGCTCTATCCATCTTCCAGTTTTTATTTCATCATCTCCATATTAACCACCACCTCTAAATATGTTTTTACATAATGATATTTTATTAATATCTACATTTATAGATTTTTTTATTTCCAATTCCAGTAAAAATCCCATTAACCAATCTTTTTACCGTTTTTATATTCACCTTGATAAATTATTTATGAATAGTCGTAAAACCAATCACACAGATCAATCCATTTACCATGCTTCACCCCTTGTGAATTGTATGATCCACCTCCACTAATTAATTTATAAATAATATAACATCTTTTTGTTTTCATATAAATATATCCACGCACCAATTTTTTAATTATTTAAATATTCTCCACTTTCTGATATTTTTGCTTGACTAATTAAAATTACTTAATGAATATATACCTCCAATAATTCTTATTTAATTCTTTCCATAGGCCTTGCTTTAACCCTAATTCATAATATCCACAAAAGTCTATAAGAGCTTCCCCATTCCAAACAGCCATCCACTTTCCCATTTTTTTCTTGTTTTTTTCAATCTTACCTTACCATTAAAGATTTTTGATCTATTCCATACTTATCAATAATTCTGGATCCTGTTAATTATCATATAAAAATTCACTAATCACTAATAAATGTATATACTTTCTTAAAATTTCCCCATTGTGTAAGTATAAGATTTGATTATCTTGTGTATATGAGATATCAATTTTTATCTTAGCAAGTTACAATTAGATTTAATCCCACTTATTTATTTTAATCTCTTTGTGTTTTTGATTCTAAAATGCTACCTTTTAGTAAATCATTGAATTTTAATGTTATTTTTATTTAAAAAATTAAATGTATTTCTACCATCTTAGCAAAGCCTCAAATATTAACAAATAAAATTATCATTTGTATATAAGGTGTAACCTAAAATGATAATAAAATTAGAGATTGATTTCATCAACAATTATTAAGTAATATTTGTAGAAAATATAATTTTAATTATATTGATGATTAATCAATACGAATTAAAATTGAATTCTAAAAATAAAATCTTCCTCCTTATTTCTTAAAATTTAATATTTCTATAAATATACTTAATATATCTTTTAATCAATTATCAATTTATGTTAAAATGATTAATGGTAAATTAATATTAATAATAAATTTATTGTGAGTTCTCTCTCAATTTTTNAACCACCACCTCTAAATATGTTTTTACATAATGATATTTTATTAATATCTACATTTATAGATTTTTTTATTTCCAATTCCAGTAAAAATCCCATTAACCAATCTTTTTACCGTTTTTATATTCACCTTGATAAATTATTTATGAATAGTCGTAAAACCAATCACACAGATCAATCCATTTACCATGCTTCACCCCTTGTGAATTGTATGATCCACCTCCACTAATTAATTTATAAATAATATAACATCTTTTTGTTTTCATATAAATATATCCACGCACCAATTTTTTAATTATTTAAATATTCTCCACTTTCTGATATTTTTGCTTGACTAATTAAAATTACTTAATGAATATATACCTCCAATAATTCTTATTTAATTCTTTCCATAGGCCTTGCTTTAACCCTAATTCATAATATCCACAAAAGTCTATAAGAGCTTCCCCATTCCAAACAGCCATCCACTTTCCCATTTTTTTCTTGTTTTTTTCAATCTTACCTTACCATTAAAGATTTTTGATCTATTCCATACTTATCAATAATTCTGGATCCTGTTAATTATCATATAAAAATTCACTAATCACTAATAAATGTATATACTTTCTTAAAATTTCCCCATTGTGTAAGTATAAGATTTGATTATCTTGTGTATATGAGATATCAATTTTTATCTTAGCAAGTTACAATTAGATTTAATCCCACTTATTTATTTTAATCTCTTTGTGTTTTTGATTCTAAAATGCTACCTTTTAGTAAATCATTGAATTTTAATGTTATTTTTATTTAAAAAATTAAATGTATTTCTACCATCTTAGCAAAGCCTCAAATATTAACAAATAAAATTATCATTTGTATATAAGGTGTAACCTAAAATGATAATAAAATTAGAGATTGATTTCATCAACAATTATTAAGTAATATTTGTAGAAAATATAATTTTAATTATATTGATGATTAATCAATACGAATTAAAATTGAATTCTAAAAATAAAATCTTCCTCCTTATTTCTTAAAATTTAATATTTCTATAAATATACTTAATATATCTTTTAATCAATTATCAATTTATGTTAAAATGATTAATGGTAAATTAATATTAATAATAAATTTATTGTGAGTTCTCTCTCAATTTTTACAAAAATTAATAATTTATATCTTTATTTAAATCAATTCCATATGAGATTTGTTAAATCTACTGAGATTTAAATAGAATGATCATTTATTGAAAATTCTGAGTTTTATTAGCCACTCTTTGAGAAGGTTCGATTCCTCAATTCTTAATCTTTGAGAAAAAAGAAAAAGTAAAATTTTAGTAAATCTGAAATTACAATATAATTGAAAGGGATGGTGTATGATAAATATGAAAAAGTCAATAAATGAATGTTAGATAAACTGAGTGAGGGTTTTATGATTAAATCAAGAATTAAATTATAAATTAAAATTCTTCAAAGATTAGCCATTTTTTATGGTTTATTTGAAAATACTAGAAGTTTTGAGTTTTATATGAACTAGGTGAATTTTGTAGCTAAATGAAAAGAGGATTTTACAAAATGTATTATATTATAAATAATAAAGCAGTGGAGACCTTAATTATTATGAGTGAGGATTTTATGAAAAATTAAACAATAAATTATTAAAAAATTTGTCCAAATAATATCTGATTAAATTTTAATCTAAATTATTAGATTAGATTTATTGAATTACGTTTATTTTCATTCTTTCTCTTATCCTTGTAATATATTTCATTATTATTATTGTTTTCATGAATCTCTCTTTTAATTTTGAATTATTATGATTATTACTTATAAAAATGCATCCAAATAATAGAAATTATATTAATTATTTGCATTAATTTTATTATTTCATTTTAGTATAACCATTAATTATTATTTCAGATTGTTGAATGTTTATATATGATAGGATGAGAGAAGAATTGTATTTAAGCAAATAAAATTTACAAATACAATTTGGAGAGAGTATAAAATATTTGGAAAAAGTTAATCATATGTTAATAAATACTAAATTAAAATTATATCTTATTTTAAGAGCAAATTGATTTCATTTGATAATAAAAAAAGCATTAGTTTTATCAATTAATAACAATTAATGGTTTAAAACAAGATAAAATGTATTTAATTTTTTTGTCATTATAATCAGAAAAGGCTGAGCCTCTGATTTTGAATTGACTAATAAAAGCGATTAGAAATTTAATAGAGTAAGAAAATTGATCAATAGAAGTAATTAACAAAATCAAATTTAAAGAAAAAAGAATCACAAATGAAAAATACAATCTTTAAAGTTTTGTTTCTATATTAGTCTGGGTAATTTAAGGAAGAAGTATATTTCTTTTAAGTTGATTAATAATATAAGATTTCTAAATATTTTGCCTTTGTTATTTTAAAT